ATTTAAACTTTTATAATTATATTTTAACTGTATAATAAGTAAATTGTCCATTTGCGATCTTGAGAACTAAAATTTAGGATATTGTTCCTTGGAAATGTGGCATCTCCAATGATCACCAAAACGCCCAAAGTGGGGAAGAATCTTCTCATCATCCCCATAATTACCTAATTTTTTATAAAAAAAAACTTAGAACTTAAATAGGTAAAAAAGATTTCTCTCTTCTTCACCCCCAATCATCTTTTCTCCCACAACCCCGTGCCTGTAACGCCATTCATCCTTAGATCTCGCACCCACTGTTAGAAGTAGGAACGGGTGCATATGCTACAAAAATTGTGTTAAAAAAACTAGCCCCCAATCCTATTCCTTACTTTTATTTGTTTTCTGTCGTCATAAACAAACTCTGTGAAGGTGTGGTCATGCTGCTGAGCAATAGCATAAGCATAATTCCATGGGCTCCTCAAACCCCATCATCTCTTCTTTCTCCTCTCTGTTTTTCCTCGAAGATAGAGAGAAAATGCCTTCTCAAGCAAGTAAAACTGAGCTCTGGATTCAATTCTGAAAGGAGTGAGCGCACACTTCCTGTTTGTTGTTCCCCAAGCCAAGCAGCTGGAGAGGATAACAGGGATAATCCTGCACACCAAGTAACATATCTCTCTCTCCATATTCTTTATTTTTACCATTTTTTCTCTTCTCTTTCTTATATTTTGGGAAAATGATGAGGAGTTTTGCCTCAAATTTTCAATGGTTAATGTTATTAACTTCTGGTTTGCTGTCTAATGGACTTATATTAGGCTTTTTTGGTCCTTTTGTGGCTTAATTTTCTTATAGCAAAATGACTAAGAGGAAAGTCTGAGTGTTTATTGATTTTTTTACTGGATCAGGATGGCATGAATTTTTGGAGAAAATGGCAGGTACATATTTATTTGTTCCTTATATTGATCAAACTATGGTTGCCATGTTCAGGTACATATTTATTTGTTCCTTATATTGATCAAACTATGGTTGCCTTTCATTCTTTGCATAAGCTGTGCATTGCCATGTAATAATCCTCACACGGTTTCTTTGATCCTTTACAAAGTTCACAATTTGACCACTGTATCAGTCGTTATGTCCCCCTATCTTCTTCAACCTTATCTTGTGCACAGAAGAACAATTAATCTCAAGGAAGTATTCGTTGTTTTTTTTTAAGTGTGGTTTGTTTTTTTTTTAAAATTGGTTGTCTAAGAGATTTCTTGGGAGCATCCCCACGTGGGTTGGTCCAACTTGGGGATTTTAAAAAAAATTAAAATTATAAAAAAATTAAGAAATTTATTTGTAATGTGTTCTTTCATGTTTTCTATCATTTTTGGCAAAGAATAGAAATTGTTTTGACCATGAATACTTGTTTTTATATTTTACCCGTCAGAAATTGATTTTTTTAAAATCTATTTTTCCCTACTTTTTTAGTCACAATCACTCTTGTCCTTCAAATTTTAAATCGAACAGTCATGACTCATGAGCATATGCGATTGACTAGACTCAAGGCTCAAACAAATTTTTTCAAACTTAGTAGCACACCCCAAGCCATTCAATTTGACATTTGATGATTAGAAGTAACTGTGACCTACTTGCAAGAAAGATAAATGGTCTCATAATATACAATCCTAGCGGAAATAGGTCTAGCTGTATTGCATGTGTGTTGATGTATAACCATTAAAGAAAGGAAAGCTTTTTTAATCTAGTTATATTTGATACTTAACCAGAGAGATACAGCAGAGATGCGATCTAAGATTGCAAAGCTTGGGCTTGCAGCTGTTTTAGCATATGGTATTATTGATGGCATCACTTATACAACCTTCTTCATACTTGCCTTCCTTGGATATGAGAAGAGCACAGGGAAGAATCCAGCAGCCAATATTCAGGCACTCTTGGGGGTCAGTAAGCTTTTCTAAATCCTAACAAGCTTCGTTTAGTTTGTGCAACTGTCTGGTTATTCATCGTTTACATACACCTGTATTGTTCGTGTTGTACTTGTCCTTAATGAAACGGGCCATGCATGTTCAGATAGTAATATTGATGTGGACCGGAAACAATGTGACGAGGCCGTTTCGGGTCGCTGGGCAGCTGCATTGGCACCGATTATCGACAAAGGACTAAAGAAGATCCAAAAGTATTTCAATTTTCCAAGTCTAGTCTATGCCTTCGCATTCGTGGTGGCTGTGATTGCTGGATCATGCTTTACAGTAGTAGGCTTGCTTATTCTGTCAAGATGGGGAAAATGAGAACCCTGATTTTCTTGTACAACTTATGATTTACTGCTAGGAAGCTAAACATGTAGCATATTATCATATTATCAGGCTGGTGCATCTCTCTCTCTCTCAGAACTTCAGATATAGAGAGAAAACAGGAAAGAGTAAGGAAGCCATGAGAGACTTATAAAATACTACTATATTTTGATGGTAGTAGTTGCCATACATGTGTTATTGCCAGAATTCAACAATGAATAACCAGAGAGCTGCAAAATCCAAAAATGAAGGTACTACCAAAATATTTTTGTTTTCCTTCTTTTTTCTTTATAAGGTTACCATGTACAGGGCGATAATAACAAAAGATGACGGAAATTAGAGCAGTTGTGGGAACTCAAGAGCTTCATACAGGGACCAACACTATTTGGTTCTTCTGAATAAGCGCCTTCTGGACCTCTTTCGAGCAATTATAATGAGGGAACCTTCTTCAGCGATTACTCTTTCTGCTCTGTGATTGCCTAGAATTAGTATCACAATAAACGAGTTAGGGACCTAAAACATATGTCAGAGGACAAGTTCGAGCTTGCATTTTATGCTCGCCAATTGAAAGGCAAGATAACTGTTACACTTGCAGCTCTGTAGAGAGAGAGAGAGAGAGAGAGAGAGTTTCTTTTGGAAATTAGAGCATGTGTGAAACCCTTTTTGCAAAAGATCGATCGAAAAATTGCATGTGTAATTGCTAAAAAAAAGTAATATGACGAATAACAGTTATAATGCAAAATAATTTGACGGATCCTATTATAAGCTGCAGCTCAATTAGAACAACAGTAAAAATGAAAAAAAAACGATGTAGTGCAAATAAGACAATGTTGTTTCTGCCAGAGATGGCAGGGTCCAAAACCTATGCTTGACCCAAACTTTATGATAGCCCTAGAAAAATAAAGGAAAATAATGAGTAACTAGATCCTGTAAATACGTAAATTAACTTCCACACACCCTATAAGATCTTGTTCTTCAATATTTCTGCACCAAATAATTTCTTGGGAAATTTTTAAAATTTTCATCTCTTGTAGGTACAATATTGGGCAAAAATCGAATAAGGAAAAACTACAAAAAACAAGGGGAAAACAATAGAAAATTCAAAAAATGAAGAGCTTGATATATTTTCCTGAAGTTTTAGATGTTTTAAGTTAAGCTTGTACCGTTCTTAATATTCTAGGACCATGAAAAGAAATGGAGATATAGGTCACCGCGCAACTTCATGCATACCTAGAGAATGCATACAAGTATCTTTCTGATCTTCTTCCCTGCCAAGAGGAGTGAGAGCTTTATTTGCCAATCCACCTTTCATGGCTGTTCTCCAAGTGTGCACTCTACCACCATCAGTTATACCAGCACACATTCCAACCCCAATAGATACTTGTACCAACTTCTCATCATGAGGTATAGATGGGCGTCGGCTTTCAAGAGGAATAATGGGAACATTATAAACCCCAGAAGCAGGGTTAGTCATACCATGGGTCCATTGATGCACATTCCCATCACTTGTAAGAGCAATGAAGTCACTCCCATAGCACCCGACATCTATAACCTGCAGCCACACTTATCTATCATTCTTTCCTTTTAGGGAATGTACACCATATTGAATCTAGTGTTCTATTTGTATATTACATATTGTCACAATTGTCTGTTCTCATCAGTGGATAGTTGTGATGAACCGCTCCACCTATGTAAGCTCAAGTGGGAAACCATTCATCTCCACCATCCATCATCAAGAGTGGATGGTGGAAGCTACATGTAGTGTACAAATAGCATACATACCATACATTATCTTTCTAATAAATCACTTGTTAAAAAAATGGGACAGTCGTGGCTTCCATAGCCCATGGACCGTCCCATTAAATGAGCAGTGGATAAGAGGGAGCACGACACACCATTGGCATCATCTCCTCTTCTAGTGTGTCCGACTCTTGTCCATGACTATGAAACATTTTCAAGAGACAGTCATGACCCCAATGGACTACAGGTTTTCATAATCCGTTGGACTAGAGTTTCCCATATTTGACTTGGTTGATGTTTGCATATACTGATTTACTCAAGTAGTAAATTATGTCAACAAACCGGGACACCATTTAAATGTAAAATAGCTTACCCTCTTTTGAAATCAACTTCTGGACTAAGTTCACTCTCATCATTTGCCAAAAGTAACAATAATCGATAATACATAAACTAAGGGGCTGAAATTATAAACTAGTGTTATCTATTTCATATGATTCCATTATTGCCTTAGATGAATAAAATAAATTTAAGCATCCTCATGCAACAATGATTTGGAAAAGACAATCTTATCCCTGGCATGTTATGAAACTCACTGCGGCTTTTAGGATACATTTTGAAAATTTGATTTTTGTACCATACCAAATGTAAGGAATCATACTAGTATATTGTGAAATAAAAGTATTAGAAGGAAAATGTGTACCTTTTGCCCAACCAGGGTTCCCAGAGCAGGTTGACAAGTAGAACTTACAAACCCAAAATGACTTATTGATTCCATATAGTTAAAGCAACCATTGCCCCATAACCAAGCATGGCCATCATCTGTCAATATTATTGCATGATATGCTCTGCCACACTGGATAACATATCATCAAAATAATAATAAGATAAAAAGGCATATGAACATTCGATTATTTTCACTAATTGCAAACAATCATCTTATACAAATAAAAGGCTTAATGGGACAGAAAGATCCTATGAAGCTTTACTGTTCCCTAGGACTGGCTTTGAGCCTTTCCTACACAGCTTAGGTGGGGGCAAAGAACACCTCCTCCTAGTGGGGCCAAAGGCATCAATGAGATACCACTTTGGATGAGGGAGAATTTTAAAAGCAAAAGAAAATAACTGCAAGAGTGTACAAAAATTCTTGTGCAAGTCACAAGAATTGTAAGCATACGAGTATGGGAATCAAGAGCAAGCTCTACAAAACTAGTATGATTAGATAAAAGGTGTAATTATGCATTGCGATCTCAAAAGGAAAGTGTATTAAAAAAAACATTTCTGACAATGTATGGTTCGAGAAATTTAGCAAATGTCTAGAAAGTCAAGTTTCAAAAGTATGTATATCACAAAATTCTATCTTTCTGTTTCTCACTGATTAACTATCTTTTTCCATACAAATTTTTTTATCAATAATTATGATTTCTTAAACGAATTTTTAAAGTTGTTACTATTTACTTAACAGTAAATATAAATACAAAAACTGGTTTAAACAACAAATATTTCAATTATGTTCTCTAGTTAGCTCGGCTCACAGTCCCTCCTTGCAATTGATTCTATTGTGCAACAAGAAATCATAATGTCAAGGTCATCTTTAATCAGCACTCACCCATCTCTCTTATATGTGCTGCATAATTCTCTCTCTCTCTCT